TTTAATAATAAAAAATAAAAATATTTTAAAAAATACACTTATTTGTTTTTAAATATGTCCTTATTAGTTATTTAATATTAAACAACAACCGCTAACTATTGTATAACCAAATAGTTATATTTATCGAATTCGCTATTTACTATTAGCTACCCATTTCCGCTATTCGCCATCCATTATCAGTTAACTGTCATCCGCTACCCGCTACCGCTACCCACTACCGCTATCTGCTATCTGTTATCTGCTATCCACTAAATTTTAACCGGTGTACCAAATAGGCTTAAATAAAAAAATCACATAATTAAATAGTTTTTCATATAAAAGGAAATATACCAAAAAGAAATTTTAAAGGATATGGAAATTATTAGAAGCAATTAAGTGTATATTCTCATTTATATTTGGATTTAAATCTATCAAAATTTAAAAATAACAAAATTTTTATTTGAAATTTATATTTTAAAAAAATCAAAAAAACAAACCATGACTACTAAAGTTAAGTTAAACAGAAAAAGTACTATGATAATGTTTTTATTTATTACTATATAAGGAAATATATTAAATAAGAAATCACACAATTAAATAGTTTTCATATAAAAGGAAATATATCCAAAGGAAATATTGAAGGATATGGAAATTGTTAGAAGCAATTAAGTGTATATTCCCATTTACATTCGGATTGAAATTATCTCTATCAAATTTTAAAACAACAAAATTTTCATTTGAAATTTTTATTTAAAAAGTGAAAAAAAACAAACCACAACTATTAAAGTTGAGAAAAGTTGAACAAAAAGATTACTATAATATTGTTTTTATTTATCACCATACAAGAAAATAAATTAAATAAAAAATCACACAATTGTATAGTTTTTCGTATGAAAAGAAATATATTCAAAAAAAAGTATTAGAGGATATGGAGATTATTGGAAGCAATTACGTGTATATTCTCATTTACATTCAAATTTAAATTTATCAAAATTAAAAATAATGAAATTTTTATTCAAAATTTATATATAAGAGGTAAAAAGAACAAATCATGTCTACTAAAGTTAAAGAAAAATTGAACAGAAAGATTACCATAATATTATTATCAATATTGGCTGGCCTGGAAATAGCAACTGGAAACCAGTTGACAGCAAAAGTTAAGAAAGTGCCAAATGCAAGAAAGCATTTTCTATCCCTTGAAAAATTACCTTGAAAAATTACTAACATGTTAAAATATCAGTATTTATTTTAAAATATTATATTTATATTATAATTAATTATATATATTTAAATCATTTAATTTTAATTTTATACTTAAGAATATCCTATTAGATAATTTTATAACTAAAAATATTTTATAATATAAATCAATATATAGAATCTTTATATATGCAATAAAAACAAAAACCAATAAACCATTCATCAAATTGTTTGTTTCCTGTTTCCCACAAAACCAATCATCACAGAAGGAAAAACCGAGTTCAATGGCCAACCCCCACTACCAGAGTGCTCCAGTCATCGTAGTGGCGGTGCCCTTTCCAGCCCAGAGCCATCTCAACCAAATGCTGCAACTCTCATGCCTCCTATCATCATGCTACAACCTTCCCGTTCACTACGTTGGCTCTTCCATCCATATCCGCCAAGCCAAGCTCCGCTGCTCAACTCCTCTTCTCCTCACCAGAATCCAATTCCGTGACCTCCCTATTCCTCCTTTTCCTTCTCCCTTCCCCATCCGCGGTGGAGATACTGATTTCCCTGCCCATCTCCAGCCATCCTTCGACTCCTCTCTCAACCTTCGTGAACCATTCGCCGCCCTCATAGACACACTCTCTTCTAAGGCCAAGAAGGTAGTTGTAATCCATGACCCTTTAATGGCCTTTGCGGTTCAGGATTCTGTTTCTTTCCCAAACGTAGAACTCTACATTTTCCACACCTCATCTGCCTTCACTTCCTTCTCTATTCTATGGGAAAGAATCCAGGGAATCCCCGTTCCTAACTATTTCCCTGAAAACCTTCCTTCCATGGAAGGTTGCCTTACTAACGAGGTGGTGAATCTCATAACCATTCACAGGGAATTCACGAAACTCCGATCTGGTGATCTCCACAACACATGTAGAGTGATTGAAGGCGAATACATAGATCATCTAGCTCAAAATGATAGTATAGTGATTGAAGGCGAATACCTAGATCATCTAGCTCAAAATGATAAACTCAGACCACGGTGGGCTGTTGGACCATTAAGTCATCATCTGGGAGGAAGAATTGAGGAGCAGAGCAACTCTAGTGGGGAAAACATATGCCTGATTTGGCTTGACAAACAACCACCAAAGTCAGTCATATACATATCCTTTGGGACTACGAGTTCATTTGTAAAGGAACAGATTAAGGAACTGGCAGTTGGGATAGAAGAAAGCAAGATCAAATTCATCTGGGTGCTCAGATATGCCGATCGAGGAGACGTTTTTGCAGAAGAAGATCAGAGTCCCGAGCTTTCAGAAGGGTTCGAAGAGAGAACGGAAGCACAGGGGATGGTGGTGAGAGGGTGGGTACCTCAGGCTGAAATCCTGAAGCACCCATCTACTGGAGATTTCTTGAGTCACTGTGGGTGGGGTTCATGTTTGGAGAGCATTTGCTCCGGCGTGCCAATAGCAGCATGGCCCATGCACTCCGACCAGCCAAGGAACGCCACGTTAGTGACACAGGTGTTGAAGATCGGTTTGATTGTAAGGGAGTGGTCACACAGAGAAGAACTAATAACAGCATCGGCAATTAAAGAAGCTCTGAGGACGCTAATGGCTTCAGAGGAAGGGGAAATGATGAGGAAAAGGGCAGAGGAATTAGGAAGGGGTGTTCGTCAGGCTACTGAGGAAGGTGGAGTTTCTCGAAAAGAGTTGGAATCCTTCATCAACCATATCAGTAGATCGATCCATGAACAAAACAAGAAAACATGAAGTAGAATACTTTTTGAATTGTTTTTCAGCTGTTTTTTCTGCACTTCAGACCTTTTTTTCGCGGCTGATAACTTAAGCTCGTAAACGTTCATGAAAGTAAGATTTAAACCCATGAATTTCTTGACTCGCATTATAAACCCTTGTATTAAGGCTAAATTCTCTTATTTGCACCCTATATTTTTTTTTTACTGTCAATATTTTAAAAAAATTTTACCCATAATCAATACTTTTTATAATTTAAAACTCATAAAAAAAAAACTCAAAAATTAATTGTTAAATCTTTTATTGATACTTTGACTTTATTAGTAGTTTGAGATTTTTTATGAATTTTAAATTATAAAAGATGTTAACCATTAAAAAAACCTATACATAATATAAATAGGAAGTTTGGCCTTGTATTAATGAAGGGCATATTTTTTTTTTTTTTTAAACAAAAGAGATTGAGTACCAAATGAAAAAACGTTAAGAAACCAAACGGGTGCTAACCCTATTCAAATGATGTTTAAAAAAGGATAAATTACTAATTTGATATTTAAACCTAATTTTAAACTAGAATATAGTCGTTGATGGTAAAGAAAAAACTAAAATTATATTTAAACTTTAAAAAAATCAAAATAATTCTCAAGCAAGTTCTAATTTTATCCTTCCTAGGTAAGTGCTTCACGTTAAGTCTAAAACAATTCAAGTTCTTTTTATTCTAATTATTACTAAATAAATTTTAAATAAAAATTTAATATATTATATAAATAATAATTAAAATTTTAAATAAAAATATTCAATAATAATATA